TTTTTTTACATCTATGCAGCTTGATCCGGCTGTCGCACCCCTGGGCTGGATTTGTCGTAATCGTTTGTATCATCGTAGTTTTGGATCATATATAAAATTATTAAATCATGTATAAATATTTCGACAATTATTTGAATCAGCCGCAAAATGTGTTGTCTTTAGGCAATTTTATCTGAATAGTTTATGTATACTAGTGACATTAGGTTGTAAATTTCAACACGCTTCAGCATTTCGGTCCCCGTAGGTCCTCCGCCACACACATTTTACAAAACATTTACTTATTGAAGAAAAAATCTTTTTTAGTCGAAATCATTATCCATCATTTCCGTACACAAACGATGAGCCGGTATCCGGGAACTATTATCCAGTTACCAGTCGTATATTCATACGAGATTCGCAGACGCAGCTAACATTGCTTACGGATCGTTCGCAAGGTGGCACAAGCTTGAATGATGGTGAACTTGAATTAATGGTACCACATTTTTCCCTTAAAAAACCCACATTTTTCCATTCGGTGGCTTTTAGTAAATCGAACATTTTAGCTTGTTTGTTTGACGCTTTAAATAGAAGTTAGTGGTGTTGAGGTACTTCGTAATATTGTTCATCATACATTAATACCGCTCGAAACAACTCTTCCTTTTACGATTTGTTGATTCAGTCATACAATGATCAGATAATGGTATGCTTGACACGAATTGATTCTTTAGTAATAATAGGAACAGCTAATCGCCTCATGAATAAAGCACAGCTTTTATAAGAAATGCCCACGAAATGAACCAGATATTGCATCAAGTCAGCACAAGCGATAATGATGTAGACCACCTGAATATGAAAGTATCACAAGGCACATTACAATGCATCACAAGGTGCCGGTGTAGCTGCTTCCCAGTAGACGGCGTTTTACCTTAAGAAAGAGTTGAAGTTGACAGCTATGCCTGCCTTAGTCGAGAATTATAATTGGCCAATGCACGGGCTGCCCGTGCGAAGATGTATTTTTTGCATAGTTCCCCGCAGTTTTTGTCGCTACCGGCACCGGTTTTTTCGGCAAATACTTCTATAATACTGCCGCCAGAACTGTCAGAAAACACCCCCTAAAATTTCACCTTTCTATCTTTCTTGGCTCCTGAATTAGCAGTTTACTGGAAAAAACTTTCACCGGCCCGTACATGGGTACCACTCATACCCGATGTCTGGGTTTGAGCTCATTGGGACTTACGTGCTCGGGAAACATCCTCTTAAAATTACGACCTTCTAGCTTTTGAGATACTCGAGTTATCAACTTACCCGAAAAAACTTTGGTGAGCCAGCACGTAAGTACCACGCGTACCGGAGACTGGGTTTGAGCTCATTAATACCCATTTGGACGAAGAACATACCCTTAAAATTTTAGCTTTCTAGCTTCTCAGATCCTCGAGTTATGAACTTACCCATTTGGCGGGCCCGTACGCGGGTACGACACTCACCCGGGGCTGGGTATAAGCTCAATAATACCCACTTGGACGAGAAACATACCCTTAAGATTTCAGCTTTCTAGCATCTCAGATCTCCGGGTTATGAACTTACCCGGGAAAAATTTTGGCGGCCCGTACGCAGGTACCATACTTACCCGAGGGCTGGGTGTAAGCTCATTAATACCCGCTTGGACGGGAAACACCACCCTAAGATTTCAACTTTCTAGCATCTCAGATCCACGAGTTACGAATTTACCCGAAAAAAATTTTGGCGGGCCCGTACGCGGGTACCACGCGGGTAAGGGCGTCCATTTTGGAGATTGGAACCCGTACGTACATGTAGATTAAGTTACCAAAGTTTCAGCCCTATAGCTTTTGTAGGTCTGGCGATGGAAAATCGGGACCGACGCACACACAGACACACGGACACACACAGGCATACACACAGACAGACAACCCCTCGTCAATACGCGTTTTCTGCACTGCACAGCTGCAAAAAACGCATAAAAATACGCCACAATTCCCATTCCGAAATTACGCATCAAAGAGATGCCAGTTAGCTTGAATTCACAAATTCGCCAGCGTTATGCATATGTGGCGGACCGTGACCTCCTCAGCACCAGAGTACTGACAGCAGTGACATGAGAATGCAAAACGTGGCATTAAAAAGAGTGAAAAGCAAATCCTTTTCATATCAGGATAAGTGGTGAATCGAAAAACGCTTGACGGATCTTCAGATGATTATATAAGATATCATTATAACCTCAACAGAAAGTGAAATTCGTCGATGAGAGATTTTACTCGCCTTGCTGACAGACATAAACGTTCTGAGGCAATGAGTGGTGCCTACGAATGAGGAGATTTTTGAGAGGGTTGTTCGAGCTTGCGGCCGGTAAATTCAGACAAAAATGATCGGTTGTAATTGCCCAGGTGCATTAGTGAGTCCTCACAAAAATCAGCATTTAATTTGGGCAGTTCAGGAACCTTTAGTTCAAACTTGCATAATTCCAGTGCAGTCAAAAATTACCAATAGAATGAATCGCATTTGTTTCAGCTACACCGCCGCTCATTCTACGATGATAATTTTGGTGTTTCCGAACCACTGGATGAGCCCGGTGAAAAAGGACAAGGACTTGTTGTACGTGGTCGACACTGGCTCGTTGTGGACGTTCCGGAGAAGTCGGCAAAAATGCATCGCCCACTGGCTTATGAAATTTACAATTCGCCATTGGTGACACTTTCGGAACGCAGCATGGTACCATCTGATTATTGTCGGGCATTTATTACAGAGGTTACTATGCGTTCTTTGTAGCTATGCAATGCGGAAAACGCATATTGGCGAGAGGTTGTCTGTGTGTGTGTGTTTCTGCGTGTGTGTGTGTGTGTCTGTGTGTGCGCAGGGCCTCTGTACCGATCTTTCATCTCAAGACCCACAA